AATGAAGGATTGTTTCCTTCGAAGGTTCGTTGAGGTTCGTGTGACTCGAACTCTCAAGTTGTACGGGTTTGTTAAGCACCGTTAAGCTTAACGAGATAGTAGTGTAGCTCGAGAGAGTCTCTCGGGAGGCTGGATTAGCCACAAGTTGTGGTGAACCAGGGTAAAATCGGTGTGCCTCTTACTCTTCTCTTCACTTCTCTTTTATTTATTTTTAATTCCTGCGATTTCTCGATCAAATGCTATTCACCCCCCTCTAGCGTTGGTTTATTATTCTAACACGCTCACGTTACGAGGATTATACACACACATTTTTTCTATTCTAGCATTGAGCTCCTCGAAGAAAAATTAATTATTGTGTTTGAGCACGGCACTGGCCGGTCAAAATGTTGTACATATTATTTTTGTAAGAAAACATCTAATTTAAAATCAGAGAAACAATGAAGAACTCGAAGGACTGACAATTGCAACCGGTCAAGAACACAGCATATGAAGACTGAAGTTAGCACTCGGAGGACTTATTTACTTCCTTAAGTTGGTGATTCTCACAACTTCAGAAAGTAGAAGACTACTTGATGGGAAAAAGTACTTGAACCGATCTAGATTTCCAAATTATTTATGAAGAGCATTCAGATCAGACCTATTTAATAAAAGAAGGGAATGAAAGAATATTCTACTAGAGATGCCACTCCTTTTCATATAAAAACATGGCTCTCCTTCATCATAAGAGGCCTCTCTCACACTCCTCCCCTACCAATCTCTCTCTCTCTCTCTAGACTATAGAGCCTGTTCTTTAGTACTGGAAAAAAAATGAATGTTGGAAGAAACTAGAGAAAGTTGAAGAAATTAGAAGGAACTGGAAGAAATGGGAAAAAACTTCAAATTATTAGAAAACCTAAAAAAATTTATTTTAGTGTATTTTTATACTATTACGCAGTACCATTCTAATTCTTGTTTTTATAAATTAATATTAATATTAATATTAATAATAATAATATTATTACCATCATCATCGCGTTATTGGAAGAAACTAGAAGGAACTGGAAGTTAAGAGTTAAAGCCCTAAAAAAGAGGCTCTATATATATACTTTCTTCTTTTTCAAGAGCTCAAATGCTCTATTAATGGCTTCTAAGCCTAAATAACGCACCATGTTATCCCTCGTTGGCAAGGTACCGCAAAAAAAGGCACGCGATTTTCTCCCAATTGGGTTTCTACGTCAAAATCTCCGTGTTTGTATTTTGGTGTATTTTGTTAGACTAGTTTATCGTTCTTGTCTGACTAAGAACGATATTCCAGTCGAAATAATTTAAACCATCCTCTAATATCATTTTTATTTAATTTGAAGTCAAAGTTTACCAATTTTGACCGAAAAAGTAAAAGTAGATAAATGTTCAAAAAAGAGTGCAATTCTATGTTCACCCCTACCGAACTTCCACGCCTAACTACACGTAAAAAATAGTGCTTCTTTGTTGTATATCATTTTTATGGATCTTCTCACATATTTTTTTATTATAAAAAAAATAAATACTTATTTAAGTAGTAACCAAAGAAGCATTCTTTGCTCGACAAATTCTTTGGTGAATCTAAGGTCTAGCATGGACCTATATATGAGCAAAATAAGTATTTCTTTACTACTTAAATAAATATTTGTTTAATTTAAATAAAAAAATTAAAAAAACATTTTATGTGAGAAGGTCTGCAGAAAATGATATGCACCTAAGATGCACCAAAAAAGCACTCTTTACTTGGTAAATTCTTTGGTTGACCTAAAGTCTACCATGGACCTATATATCAGTAAAATAAACATTTAAACCTTTTTTTTAAAAAGAATAAACAAAATTTATGTGAAAAAATCCATAAAAATAATACTCCCTAGTTTGCTAGTATTATACTAGGAAAAATTACCCAAAACAATCCCAACTTTATCCGGTCTTTCAAAAATAATCCCACCTTTCACTGTGATGCATAATAATCCCAACTTTATTGAAATTTGCCAGTTTTGGGTCGCCGTTAAATTTCTAACGGAAGGTTAACGGAAATGCCCGTTTTTGGCAACAAAATGAAAGTTGAGATTATTTTTGATGATTTTTTTTTTTTAATTTTTTTTGAAATTTTTATTTAAAATTTTTGAATTACTTTCAACCCTATTATGTGGATGGCCAGAATTTCCCAAAAAAAAATATCCATACCCTACGGCTCCCGACTTCTTCAATTCTCCTTTGGTTCACATCCAGAAGAGCAGGCATTTCATTTTCTAGGCTTCCGCGCTTCAAATTCCTCCATTCATCTGATATTCTCGAACAAATATCAATTTCCGATTTAATTATCAGGTATGAAACACAATATTTAGATGCTTTTGTCATTTCATGGAGTTTTAGATCTATGGCTTAAAATCTCTAAATCTGAAACGCCACTCAGCGACAGATCTTCTATTGTCCATGTATTGTCGAAGGTCTGTATGAAACACCACCCTACATATGCTGTTTTCATGTTTCATATCAGTATTTTTTTTCTTCAATTTTTAAACTTTTGCGATTTTGTATATTTGCATATATAACTGGCTGATTACTCTGTATGTTTTCTTTTCTTTTTTCTCAATCTGTGCTTTCTCTTTTCAGTTATTCTGTGTTTCTTTTAACATATTAGGGGTATCTTACACTGTATATTAATATCTGAATTTCACTCCGTAATATTCAATTCTTCTTATTATCGAAGTGCTTCGTATCGTATTACAATTAATAAATCTGTGATTTTTTCAGTGTTTCTGTGTGTAATTTTTTTTGCACCGTAAAACACATAATTTTATTACCAACAGCTTAAGCGTCCAACATACAATGACAAATATAAACCTGCCAAATACGAAACTACATCACTTTCCTGAAAATAAGATAACTTTTAATATAGAAAACAACATGAATGATCAGCTCTTCTGTTTTCCTCCTCTTTTGGTGCATAACTTCATTTCTTGTCTTCCAAATGTAGTATATGCAAGCTGTCCATATAGCTATCCAAATCCTCTTTGATTTTCATTCCCTACACCCTCAATATTTTGGCATTGATCTGCATTTGAAACTCCCTCCACACTGTTTTATATACTTCTTGCGCAAAGTCACATTCCCAGAAGAGGTGCTGCCTAGTTTCAACCTCCTTCCCACAAAACTCACAATCTGCATTAATATCTAAGAACTTGAGGATTCTATCATTTGTTTGCAGTCTCCCTCGCCAGAACAACCATAAGATGATTTGAAACTTGGGAGGTGTGCATTTGTTCCATACTCAATCTCTCCAGTAAGGTCTTGGCTTCTCCCCTTGCAACCATTCATATCCAGCCTTAACATCAAAAGGTTCTCCTCTTGGCATATCTGTGAACTTGTTCCTTACCTTCACCATTTCTTCCCAATAGTGGCATGAATCAGGTTTAGGAAAAATAGTTCCAGACATCACATCCTTGAATGTACTTGGTATGTATTCATTTTACCTACCCATAGGATATCTTTTTTCTCAGCTATATCCCAGTTTAATTTCATGATGGCAGCATAATTACAATGCAGTATATTTCTAATTCCCAGCCCACCAGGTTTCTTCAATTGGCAAACATCATCCCAATGGACCAAGGGAACCTTCTTATATTCAGATGAACCACCCCATAAGAAGTTTTTACATATAGCCATAATCCTTTTCATCACACCTTTGGGTAAAATAAAAATTCAAGAGCAGAAGTCAACCCCCCATTAAAACTGAGTTAATCAGCCTGATCCTAGAAGCATAATAAAATTGCCTAGATCCCCAGGCTGTTATTTTAGATGTCAGTTTGTTGATCATGGCATCAGTCTTTGGATTTCAATCTGATAGTAGTAATTCGACTCCCCAAGTATGTAAAAGGAAACTTACCTAGTTTCATGCCTAAGATCCTCAAAAACTCCTCTTGTTTAGCTTGGCTGGTTCCAAAACTTCCATGATGCAGTTGATTGACTTAGTATGTGCTTTACTAACCACAATCAGATCATCAGCAAAGGTGAGATTGATGATATTCAGACTAGCACACATAGGATGAAAGGAAAATTTAGCTTTTTGAAGCCCTACAAATAACAGAGGAGATATTGGGTCTCCTTGTCGAAGCCCTTTCCCTCCTCTGAAATAACCATGATATTCCCCATTTATATTCCCCATTTATATTAAGTGTATAGGAAGGGGTGGAGATGCAGAACATGATCCATTGGATAAATTTTCCTAGAAATTTCAGGCTATACACTAATAACTTTACAACTCACAGAATCAAGTCTTTTGAATATCCAATTTCATCATACTCCTAGGTGAGATACCCTTTCTCGTATACCCTTGCTAACTCTTGACAGAGTAACACATTATGCAAGAGCTCTCTCCCCTTGATGAATACTGCTTGATTAAGATCAACAATGTGAGGCAACACAGCTTCATAGTTATCAAGGCATCGCTTAGGCGACGCTTAGGCGTCTGGGCGAGGTTATATGGACGCCAAACTGCTTGCCTAGCTTTTTTTTTGGGGAAACACGGGAGAAGAAGATGACTGAAAGAAGCCTGAGAGAGGACGAAGGAGGAGAAGATCCGAAGAAGACGAAAGGGAGAGAGACTTACTATTGGAGGAAGATCGACTTTACCTTCCTCGCGGATGCTGATTCAGTGTCGCGACTCGCGAGATCCAGCGGCTTCCAAGTCTAAACCCTCAACTCTCCATAGTTATTTAGGTTAACTAATTTGGGTTGAGTTTATTAAAAAAGTAGTGGGCCTTTGCACTTATTAAGTATAGCTCTTTATTAAAAGAGTTTTGGGCCCAAATTTGATTTCACTCTAAAAAAGTTTAAAAAGCCAACTAACTTACTAACTTGTGTAAAAAATATACTTATTTTTTTGAATATAATAATTTTAAATTTTATTTTTTTTAAAAACAACATTCATTCATATATTTCAGAATATATACTCTTTTTTGGGGCACATATGTACTCTTTAATTACTTATTTCATATTATATGCTTTTATATTAATACCTATAAAAAAATAAAGTTGTCATAGCCCACTTGCCTAGAGGACGCCTAGGCGGGTGCCTAATCGCTTAGGCGATTGGAAGGTATAGCCGCCGTAACAACTATGCACAGCTTTCAGTCTCATACATAGAAACTTAGAGATCACCTTGTATATTGTATTGCAACAAGATATAGGCCTGTAATCTGATGGTTTTGTTGGGCTGGCCACTTTGGGATTAGAGTTAGACAAGTAGCATTGATTTGTTTCAGAGTAGTGCCTTCCTTGAAGAAATCCAACACTGCTTTTGTTGTTAATTTACCCATTGCTTCTTGAAGAAACCACTGCTGAAACCATCTGGACCTGGGCTCTTAGAGTTAGGAATGGAAAAGATAGCTTTTTTAACCTGATCTGGGTTAAAGTCTCTTATCAATTACAATTGCTGCCAGTAGTGAGGACATTCCCTCTGCCCATGATGTTGCTGTCAATATCTTTTGTTTGGGTAATGGACCCAGCATTCTACTATAGAACATCTCCAAAACAGATGCAATTTCATCTGTTCCTTCAACTACTCTGTGTAAATCTTAGGAAAAAGAAACTTTATATAGATGCTGAGTTGTTGGCTTTAAAATGTGAACCTGGGGTGGAGAGCCTCCCCTTATTTTTGTTACTTTTTTTTTCATTCAAGCAAGGGATAATGAACTACTCTGTATTATATATTATTAATATATAGTGAAATAGATAGATAGATATGAGCTCAAATCGGGGAACATTGATCAATTAGCACATTTGATTTAAAGAGAGAACGTTGTAATGAAAGCAGTGAAGTTAAGATCCACTCATTTCCTCTTTTCTTTTCCCCCCTTATTCATAGTGCCAGAATGCCAGCTTTGTCCATTCATGGAAAAAGCATATGCATACACCTGGTTTTATAAATAAATGAGGCTTTATGTTTTCAAGATCCTCCCATTCAATACATCTTTCTTCACCATTGTCAACACCTTAATCCGAACTAGTTGGGGTCGTTCCCAATAAATTTGTAAGAGTGATTCTTAATGTACACCACTTATGTCAGTAAATACATGTGATTCGTTCACAACACTCATAGACATTTTCTGTCTATAAGATTCCTTCTTTGGTGTTATTGTTGGCGCGCATTAAGAAATTTCCAATTTATATTGCTAATTATTTGTTCACCATCAATTTCAAATAAAGTTTCCGATTTGACTTTTCATAGTCTCTAATGCAACACTTGAATTGTTAATAACTATATTTGTATTTAAATAAATATTATAAACATATGACATTTCAAGATGAATCTAGTGCTATTAAATGCATGTTATAACAATATACTTTATCAAAAAACCATGGTCGAAGTTATCAAACTTTGACCAAGAAAACATGCATCTTAAATTAAGACAGATAGTATAAAACTAGTTAACACTAAATATCCATGTGAAAATCACAGTGCCATTTTTGTTATGCCAGATGCCTTTTGTAGCGCAACCCTACCAAGAAGGAATTTCCATATACTAGTAATTCTACATTACTTGGTTCTGAAATACATAAATGTTTTCCTCAAAAAGCCCAACCAAGTTAACACCAATAAAAAAAATCACTTAGTCCCACTCAGAAGTAGGCATTGAGAAGGTGAGATTTAAGTGAACCTTACTTCTAGCCCGAGTAGACATGTTCTTACTAGGGAAGAGTGATAAGTAGTTTTGTGTTTTGAGAAAAGAGCTGTTATCTTATTGTTTAGATGATAAGGTTATTTTGCATAGTTTTGGTCTTTTCCAATATGGTTTCAATGGAGAACTAGATAAAATTGTTGGTGATGTTATATCTTTTTTGTATGATAAGGGGTTTTCATTTGTATTTCAAATAAACTTCTAATTGGTAGTTGAAAATTGAAGCTAGAGTTTTTTGTTTTCTTTCTAAAATCTTTTTTTTCTAGATTGTAGGCTGAATTTGATATATGTTCACCTAGCTGCTTGACCTTATGGCCTTTTTATTGAATACTCCGTATTTATGCTCTTATGGCATATTTATTATGAAAGTGGGATTTAAAAAATTCTGAGTTTCAGGAATGGCTACTGTCAAGATCATATCTGCTCTTGTGGGATCATTTGCAATTGCATATACTTGTGACCACATTATTTCTGATAAGAAGCTTTTTGGGGGTAAGCAATTTACATTCCAGAATCCAGACATTATGAGTTCTTAGATTCTGTTAGCGTGTTGTCTAATGGGTGAGTGGCATTCTAAATTAGGTACTACCCCAAAAACTATTACACAAAAGGAATGGTGGGAGGAGACTGACAAGAAGCTCCAAGCATGGCCTCGTACTGCTGGCCCACCAGTTGTTATGAACCCGATTAGCCGCCAAAACTTCATTGTTAAGTCGACCGAAGCATAACAATGTTCTTGCAGGCATTGGTTTTGTTCGCCTATATAAGAACAAGAACTTTCTTTCCTCATTCCAAACCATGAAGGTTTTTTTAGGGATCCACCAGATTGAATCGGGTCGTTTCACATTTCACTTTTGTCTGATAATGATGATGATGACATTTTGGAGTAGATGGTAATAAATACTTGCTGGCTTGTGTCCAAATGCCTGTGTAATGGGCTTTAAGAATTAAGACAATGCATCTTGAATGTCTTTGATTCCTTGTTATATTCTACTACTACTTTGCACTTAAGCATGCATTATGCTTCAAAATACAGAGAATTGAAGCACTCTTCCTCTAAGGTTGATCGGGTAAACAACTATAGGAGGGCCGCTTGTCTCAGTTTGTCCACCTTATCCAAATATGTTGGCAACAACATCATATGTTCACTCATTTCTGTTTCATCATAAGTATTATGATGAAAAATGTGTAGTGTCTAAGTCATTGGAGTATTTTTTTTTTGTTGTGAAATGAGTGAAAAAATATGTTGTTGCCATATTTTTTTTATATGCGTATTTATTACGGAGTAAAATTTATTAGAAATGATTTAAATTTTTTCCCCCAGAATCCAGCATTTTTTATCATGATTTTAGCAAAATAGCAACTCGAATTGTTAGCCCCAATTTTTCATTACCAAAGAGATTCTATCCTCTTGGTAGCAAAGAGTTGGCAATTGTGTTCTTCCTAAGTTTACCCACAAATACCATCTCTCTAATTATGGATTGTGGCGATTCCTTCCATATGTTTTCTCTGTTGTAGTTTGTCGTAATTCTAAGATAGGAGAGGGGGGAAGAATTTTAACGTTATGTACTGTAATTCCTTCCATAGTACTCTGTATTATTTTTATCGGGGAATTTTAGATAACAAATATTGGTTCCTTGGAAAAACCTATCTTGGAGGAATTAAATTTGGAGTGTTAGGAAGATTTTGGTTCTCCATGCTCTAAATAATTTTTTAAAACAAATCATATCAAGACTAATCAAATCAAAAACTAAATTGGGAAATGCCACTCTACTCAATGAATAACACTTGTAGAATTAAGGTCTGTGTACAATTGTACATATATATTATACAACAAATGGCCATTTCAAACTACAACCTTAATAATGTTTTGATTAACATAAGCATTTTAGCTCCACACAGAGAAGAACAACTAATTGGTCTATAACCATAAAACATTTCGTGTTTTGGTTTGTACACACGTTTAAATTTACCTGTCAATACCCTCAATCTTGTCTTCAACTTCAGAGTAAAGCTGCCTGAGCTTCTCGATATTTTCGGCAGAAGTCTCCCAGTAACCGCGCCCGTTGGCCTCCAAGAAAGTCTGCAACATCTTCCTGAACGAATTGGGGTTTGTGTTCATAAGCCTGTTTAACATCTCCTCGTCCTGAATGAACGTCGTGTTCGCCTCCTCATACACCCAGTTGTCCACTTGGCCTGAAGTCGCACTCCATCCCACCGTGTTTGTCAACCGCTTCTCTATCTCCCGAACCCCTTCGTACCCCGTGGATAGCATCCCTTCGTACCACTTTGGGTTCAACAGCTTTGTCCTCGCGTCCAGCCTCACCGTCTCTGAAAGCGTTCGTACCTTGATTTCCACAAAAAAAGACATCAGTTTTTTTTTTACATTTCATACAAATTTGACATGGCATTCATTACCTGTGCATTGGCTGTGGTTGTGTCAGCAATGTATGCATTGGGCTTCTTCCCATCCTTCCTGAGATTCTGGACGAGGTTAGTGGGGTCGGAATCAAAGTAATGGGAGACATCAGTGAGGGAGATCTCGGAGGAGTCGAGGTTCTGGAAGGTGGCCTCAGCCGTGCTGAGAGCCATCTCAAAGACCTTGCGTTTCTCAGTCATGCCTGCCCCTGGAGCGTCACAGTCGAACGCAAAGGACTTTCGACTCAAGTACATGTCCTGAAGCTGTTTCTCGTCGTTCCAAGACGAGTTCTCAACAGCCAGGTTTATATTGGAAGAGTAAGAGCCGGAGGCATTGGAGAAGATCCTTGAAGCGGCTTCCCGAACCTCAACTCCCAGTTCCTTTGCTTGTTCCACCGCGTGCTTTCTCAGGTAGTTTTGGTCTTCAGGTTCCTCCAACTCGGCCACCATTTTCACCGCCCGATCAAGCAGATTCATCTGGTTGATGAACAGATCCCTGAATACTCCCGAACAATTCACAACCACGTCGATTCTCGGCCTCCCCAGCTCTTCCAGACTCACGGGCTCCACCCGGTTGACTCGCCCGAGAGAATCTGCGACGGGCATCACTCCGATCATCCACATCACCTGAGCCAGCGACTCCCCGTACGTCTTTATGTTATCCGTTCCCCACAGAACTAATGCAACCGTCTCCGGGTATTTCCCTCCATTGTCACTTCTCTGCCTCTCGAGCAACCTCTCAACGACAACTTTTGCACTCTGCATTGCGGCTGCCGTGGGAATGGCCTGCGGGTCCAAGGCGTGGATGTTCTTACCCGTGGGCAGAACTTTTGGATTTCGGATTGGGTCCCCTCCCGGACCTGGTTCGACATACTTGCCCTCCAGAGCTTGTTTCAAGCTACCCAACTCGTTATCTGCAACCACAAGCTTCAAGCATTCTCCCAAATACTGGAAGAGCACTCTCAGTTTCTCCCTGTCTGCTCTGTAGAACTTGGTGTCTGACAAATACTGGACCCACGGTTCGTTCAGCCCGAACCCGAGGATCGACGTCAGCTTGTTGGCAACGTCGACAACCTGACCCTTGTTGTTGGTGGTGCGTTCCACAAAAGCGGTGATGGATCCCCGGCATGCCTGGGTGATCAGGCGAAGAAGCTCTACATCGCGCAAGATGCCATTGTCGTTACCTCTGTACACGTCTTCAATCTCCCTCCCGACCGTCTCGGCGAGAATGGACGGGAGGGAGGAGATCCCGTCTTCGGGGCGGTCGAGCGCCGCAATGTTGACGAGTGTGGCTACCGCCTCCATGGCCGAAGGCGGTTCTCCGATGACGTGAAGCCCACATGGCAAGAGACGGGATTCGATCTCCATGATCTTGGAGTAGACCTTCCCGACGACGAGGTCCCTTTGCTTGGAGGAGAGCACATCTCCCCTTCCTTCCTCGGGTAGATCCACGTCCTTGTCTAGATTGCACTGTCTGGCAGTGCTGATGATAGAGTTGACGATCTGCGGGCCACGTCCAGTGTCTTTGAGGGACTGGTAGGACGAGATGAGCTCACCGAGCTGTTTGAGTCCCTTGTACAGGCCGGCATTCTCAGCCGGCGGGGTTAAGTAGCTGATCGTGTTGGCATAGCTCCTCCGTTTGGCAATAGTGGCCTCTGACGGGTTGTTGGCCGCGTAGTAATACACGTTTGGGATGTTGCCAATGAGACTGTCAGGGAAGCAGGCATCACTCATCCCCACCTGCTTCCCTGGCATGAACTCAAGGGAGCCATGAGTGCCGAAGTGAAGGACTGCATCGGCTCCGAAAATCTTCTCCACAAAGGAATAGTAGGCGGCAAACCCGTGGTGAGGGCTAGCCGACTTGGAAAAGAGAAGCCTCATGGGATCACCCTCGTAACCGAACGTGGGCTGAACGCCAATGAACACATTCCCGTACTGCTTTCCGTAAACCAAAAGGCTCTCCCCATCGGAGTTCAAATTGCCAGGGGGCTTTCCCCAGTTCTCTTCGAGAGCGGTGGCGTAGGGGGTCAGCTTTTGGTACTCCCTCACGCTCATCTTGTAAGCTACGTTGAGATTGGGGCTGTTGAATTGAGCTTCTTTGTCGTGAATTATGTCCTCGATTAAGGCCTCCGAAGTCTCGGGCAGGCCCTCCACCTTGTAACCATCTTCCTTGAGGTCTTTGAGAACGGAGTATATGGACGCAAAGACATTCAAATACGCAGCTGTTCCCACATTCCCCTTGTCTGGTGGGAAACTGAACACCGTGATTGCCACCTTCTTCTCCGTCTACACACAAAACAAAACAAAGTTAAAGCAATATATACTTGAAGTGCAATGAGTTGGCATCATATTTTTGAGCTCATGTTTCAAAAGCTTATAACACATTCTCATTGAGGGAGACATTGTCAAAATACCTCATATTTCTGAATGGTATGTTTGGGCTTAGTAAAATGAAATGAATAGAATGTGCACTTTATGTTAATCTAAACTAAGATGGATGGATACAACTACTGTAAGATTGAATTAGAAGTGATATAATTTGGTTTCAATTGGTTGGGGATGGAAAAGTGTTTGCAATTAACGAAGAAACCTTTGATTTTCTTTTCAAGTCTGCCCATCTGATCGCCCTAGTGCAAAGCTGCTCCACTCTCTTGTGCAGAGCATGCGATTTCCCTGTAATTCAAAGCCAAACAATCAACTCAACTAAAACTATAAATGACAGATAAAAAGGAAAACAGACATAGATTTAAAAAGTCCATGAACTTGCCTGTCTTGGGATCCCGACCGGAGAAGACAATGGGTTCCATGCCGCCGTCTAGCTCCGGGAGAGCAACCTGCAGGGCAACCTGAATAGGGTGCAGCCCCAGCGTGCTGTTGAGCCACTCCTCGGTGGTCTGAAACACCAAAGGCAAGGCCACTATATACGGCACGTCGAGCTTCCTCAATGCCTCGACTGCCCTCGGGTGGTCCTGCCTCGCGGGCCCACCCACAAGGGCGAAACCTGTGAGCGACACCACCGAGTGCACAAACGGCTTCTTGCTCAAGGGGTCAATCAAGAACCTCTCCACCGGGCCAGAGAAGTCCAGACCTCCGGCAAATATGGGTATCACTTTCGCCCCTCTCGCCTCCAGCTCCATGATCACACCCACGTAATGACTCTCGTCCCCGGTCACTATGTGGCTCTTCTGCAGAACCAAACCTATCACTGGCGCATCATCACTCTTCAGCTTCTCGTTAGTGTCCCGTCTCGTTCCGTACCAGTTCAAATACTCCTTCACATCATCATACATACACGGAGCCAAGGGGTGCCAAATCCCGCTGTCCAAGTAGAGAACCGGGTCCGAATACGCGATTCTAGCCCCTCTCAGGGCGGGAATGTAGGACCCGGAGATCATCTTCAAGAAGTTGACCAAGTTATCGGGAGACCCGCCGAGCCAGAACTGGAGGCTCAGGATGTACATTCTGGCATCCTGAGCCTTGTCGCTGGGTAAATACTTGAGAACTTTGGGGAGGGTCCTCACAAGTTTCAGCATCTGATCCGCGAAACCAGCGGAGGATGGCTTCTTCCTCTTGAAGAGCTGGAAGAAGGGGCTCCTCGACTGGCCGAGCTGAGACATTGTGAAAGACCCCAATTTGTTTAGCCTCATACATTCCGGCATCGACGGGAACACCAACACCGCGTCCAGCCTCTCCCTCTCCTTCTCCACCGCCGCCTTCACCTTCAGCGCCAGCTCCTCCACGAAAATCAAAGACCCTATAAACACGTTCGCGTCCTCCAGATCCCTGCAGAAGGATTTGTAGTTGTCCCCGTCCCTGAGCTCCTCCACCAAGTACCCCACAACCTCGTACGAGGCGAAATCCACAGTCGAATTCAGGGTCCGAACCGCGGCCGTGAGGGACGACTGGTATTGCGCTTCTAGGACAACGTACACTACTTTCACCGTGGGGAGGCCCTGCGCATTTTCCGGCACGATTCTCCGTGCCTCCTGGGTGGTCTGCGTGAACAGCCCGTTCCCCAGTGCTGCCGCAACACACCGGAGTTTCTTGGACGATCTGGTTTGGGTTTGGAAATTGGGGAGAAAGGTGTGCAGGAAGTAAGGCTTTGAAGATATTGAGAAATGGTGGTCTGTTTTGGCATTATTTACTGAAAACGGTGAAGATGCCAGAGAAGAAGCCATTGTTGGATTGATTGCTCTGTTTCTTGATGTACAATGAGATAAGAAATTTCAGGAAATAAACACTAGAAAGAAACAGAATGAAGTGAAAATTATTCAGAAAATGATGAGAAGATTATATACAGACCACCGCAGCTCTTCTCATTTTGGAATATGAGTTTGAGAAGAGCAGAGTGAGAGGGGGGAGAGAAGGAAGGAGATAGGGAAACAGTTGGGGTGATCTTGTGAGTGGTAAGAGAGATGGACACGTGGCAACAAGGGTGTGTGTCCATGGGTAATTGGGGGATAAATGATTCTGAGGTTGGGCTTTTTGGGTGACGACCATTTTGCATATCGGATCTTCTTCTCCATTCTGTGGGGAAATGTGATTGAACTGTAAATGGGAAATCTTGCTGGGGGGGTCATGTGATGGAGTTTCTTGCCTTCCTATTGGTTGGCTTGGATTTCCCGTAGGCTAATTAAGGGTGAAATTAAGATGATGATCTCGGGGAGTGCTTTGCAAATTGCACTCAAGGTTGTGTGACCATTTTTAGTTATGGGTTAGAAAATAGTACTCCCCTCGCCCATTCATTTCATTGTCCATTTGGTGAGTTGGTCCAAGCGGATGGGCCTCTTTGGCCCCAATCGTCATAATTGGGCCTCTCCAGAATTTGCAGCAAAGAGTGGTCGAAAAATCGGAACACTGAGAAGGCAAAAAGAAGGCAGTACTATGGGGGGCATCGGCCGGTCATGTAGCGTGTGAAGAAGATGGTAAAGCAAGAATTTCAAGTTTTTTAAAAATGTTTTTTCTGTTTTTTTAACTAATTTTTTTACCGGATGAGGATAAAGTTACTCCAAAGGAGCTTAAAATCATAAACAAGTTGTTAGTGAACAAAGGAGCTCAGTTATCTCAAGAATTACAATATTGAGATTTATGGACAGAAATGTGTTACTAATAAAACAAATGAATGAGTTATAACATGAAGGAGTTGATTACACCGAATACACATTTCGTGTATCCTACCCTTCTCGATTAAGGTTCCATCAGCTTAGAACAAACTTTGTAAGCATGCCAACAACTACACTAACTAAATGACATCAAGGCCGTGAAACATGAATAGAATTCGTTGAAGATTCCTTGTCTTACTTAAATTTTGAAGACCAAATTTTCTTAAGGGGGAGAGGTTTGTAAGGCCACGAAAATGAGTCTAAAAGAATAAGTTACTCAGACCGCCAATTTTGATCGTGTGGGCCTAGGTGACCTGAAAAATAAAAATATTTAGAAAAATATTTTAAGTAAATTGTTAGAATGTATTTATTTTCCCGAGTTCAAAAACGTGACCAGTTTCAAAATTAGTCACCGTTTGAAAAAAAAACCCAAAATTCATACAGATAAAACTATTTCTTCCAGAACCAAGATTTTATCAAATCACCACAAATATTCTCCCTCACATCACAAAAATCTCTGCACATTCTATTGTTCTCCACATCACTTCCGTGTCTAAACACCACCCAACATCAACCACCTTCCTCTGCACTTCATATGGATTTTAATGGACGAATATGTTGGGATGGAGATGATTTGATTCACTCCCTATAACACCCCTGCCCTTTATTGAAAAAAAGGATCCAAGACTCTTCATTCTTCACACTCACAACTTATGGAATCCAGTGCAAGTTGAGCTTTCACTCATCTCCTTTCTCAAGCTTGTTCCCTCCATTAATGCAATTTTGAAAGAAAACTTGAGGTAAAAGTCTAGACTTCACTCCTATCAATATTATACTCATTTTAATGGTCTCGTAATGCTCATTATACCTACACCTAGTATATGAACAATAATCAACTCAAGGGTTGGCCTTTGGAATCATTGAAGTTTGATACTAATGCTACTTTTCTAGCCAGAAACTTCACCTGACTTGGACGGTAATTATCACCTTCTTCTATAAATTATTTTTGGAAACTCTGAACATGAAATTGTAGCCTTACGTCTTATCTAACCAGCAGTTCAAACGGTTTTCGATTCTGACATGTAACGAAGGAGATACGTCAAAAATACAAAGATTGTTCCAGCTGTGACAAGGGTGGCGGGAATTACAACTTAAATAGGAGATAATACCTTCAAAAAATACAATACAGTTTCATCAACCATAAAATGATACTTTATGTTCAAATAGAATTATATATATACATATACATATACATATACATATACATATACATATACATACATACATACATACATACATACATACATATATATATATATATATATATATACTCCCTACGTCCAGGAATGATGTTCCCAGTCTACGTTTTTTTTCGTCCGGGAATGATGTTCCCATTATACCTTTTTTTCTATATTCTTCCCAAATTACTCTCATCTTCCCCCCTTTCCTTCTTTTCTTCCATTTTCCTTTCTTTCTTTCTCTTTTGGCTCTGCCACATTTTCTTCCCTTCTTTCCTTCCTTCCTTTCCTTCTTTCTTCCCCAACCCGTCACCTCCATTCCTCCTCTTCTCTCCTCCTCTTCTCTTTCTCCCCCGTTTTCTTTCTTCTTCTTTATCCCCTTCTTCTTTCTCCTCCACCTTTCTTCTAGATCTGTATATAGCAGTGACAGCGACGGTGGCGGTGATTGTGACGGCGAGGGTGGCGGTGATGGTGACAGCGATGGTGGCGGCGGAGGTGACAGCGGTGATGGTGACGGCGACGGTGAGTCTAGATCTGCACTTCTCCTTTTCTTTCCCCTTATTTTTCTTTTAGATCTATCTTTNGGCGGTGGGAGGTGGGGTGGTGGTGGGGCTGACGGCGGTGGGTGTCACCGGAGGTGGGCTGGCAGTGGGGTGCTAGTGGGAGGGTATATTTGTCATTTTAAGGCCTTAGTCAAGCCCTCTTAAAAATGAGGAAAAGTCAAACCGGGAACATCATTCCCGGACGGAGGGAGTATATATATATATATATATAGAGAGAGAGAGAGAGATTGACTCCAGTGAGATGACACCTTACGTTGAGATGACATGCTTCAGTGAAATGACGCCAAGCTCACCACACTACACTACAAAGCACACCAATGGACAATGCAAAGCTCACCTAGAAATAAAGCAAAGCACCCCATCCTGTGATTTTATTTTTTTCAAAAAAAATTCAAAGTGTTGAAAAAATATGGTGAGCTTTGCCTTACAGTTTGGTGAGCTTTGTAGTTGTCTTTGGTGAGTTTTGCAGTGCCTAGTGGTGGGCTTTGCGTCATTTGACCGTAGCATGTCATCTCACTGGAGTCAATCCCATATATATATATATATATATATATATATATATATATATATATATATATATATATATATATATATATATATATATATATATATATATAATAGATGGGTATTTTATTAAAGGGAATAAGAAAGAGGTTACAAACAAGAGCGGGTGGGATAAAACAAGTTTCCCAGCCAAAGTACGACAATGATGCTTCAATAGAGAAAACTAGGGGAATATTCTTCTACGAATAGAAGACTGAAGACCTATAGTTCTCATATCTTCATCTATAATCATCCATTTCTTTCCACGATGTGCCCAGCACCACTGTTGAATCGTTGTCATAATGTTAAATATGATCTTGCTTTCCTTAAACGCCTCTCCTTTGTATTTCTCTGCATTATATGCTTTCCACAGGCCCCACACAATGAATCCTGGGAGGTTGGCAGTGAGCTTCTCCCGCATGTTGGTTCTACAAGTGACTAGCCACCAGTTCATACATACTTCCTGTATTGTGGAGTTTCCGTTGATGGGAGGGCCCTGGAACAGCGTGGAGAAGAATTTCCGGATTTTCAGAGAGTATGGACATTGAAGGAGAGTGTGGTTAGAGTCCTGAGTGCCTTGTTTACAGAAGTTGCATCTTGAAGGGATTGCCATGTTGAATATGGACATGTTATTTGGGAATGGAAGAAGGTTATTGAAAGCTTTCCAAAGGAAGAGTTTAATCTTTGGTATTTGGGTTTTATCCCAAATCATCTTGCAAGAAATTGAGATTGGCTTTGAGTCCCTCCAAGCATTATATGCAGCTTTGGTAGAGAATTATTCCCCTTCCCATGCCTCAGAACCCTCAGATATGTCAGCATGTTGATATGCCCAGTTGTGAATTCTAGAGACTCTCTTCCAAGTAACTGAGTCAGTTGCTCTTTCACTGAACGATTGGATACAATACTTGCTCCTCATGTAGTCCCCCCATATACCTCCATTATTTCGAAGCTTCCACCAAAGTTTTGTAGAATAGGCTGCCTCTATATCCTCAAGGTGCCTAATTCCAAGCCCTCCTTCAATGGTGGGATAACACATACTTCTCTAGTTTTTCTAGTGGTATTTGGGTTTCCCATCCTTGTATCCCCAGAAGAAGTTCTGCATTTTCTTATTTAGGATGTCCATAACGGATTTGGGCATATGTTGGACTGCCAAGATGTGGAGTGGAATTGAGCTTAGCACATGTTTGATAAGAATCAGTCTCCCCATTTGATTGAGCACCTTACTAAACCATGTATTAAGGTAGGAGTCAAAGTGAAGGATAACTTTCTTGCAGTGTGCCTTTTTCATCTTTCCTTTGCCAATGGTAGCTCCCAGGTAAGAAATTGGCAGCTTCCCTTCTCTCATTCCAAGTGTCCTCTCCATATTGCTCTTGATTTTATGATTAACCTTAGCTCCTGTGTAAAAGTGGCTTTTGCTGAGATTAATTTGATGTCCAGATGCTGCCAGAAACATATTCAAGAGTCCCTTGAATTTTAATAAATTCCTGCAATGGCCATTAAGAAAAAAAATGATATCATCTGAATAAGCTAAGTGTGAAGGAGGTGGAGTTCTCCCCGTATTGAAAGCTTTGAGAACTCCTTCAGCAACTTCAGCTTTGATCATTCTGCTTAAACCCTCACTGCCAAGGATGAAGAGCAAGGGAGAGAGGGGGTCCCCCTGTTTGATACCCCTCTCCATTTTGAAGAAGCCCTGAGAGACACCATTAATGAGAATAGAGAAGTGTGTGGCCTTAAATGTTGCCAGGAGGAGATGACAAGAAGTATGGCTGAACCCAAAGGAAAGAAGAATCTGTTCAAGGTATTTCTAGGAGAGTCTATCAAAAGCCTTGGACAAATCAACCTTAATAGCTACATTAACACTCCCTCTGCTATGATTCAAACAATGAATCATTTCCTGAGCAAATAAGATGTTCTCATATACCCCCTTGCCTGC